AATAATAATAATAATAATAATAATAATAATAATAATACTAGGAGCTAACGTTTGTGAGCATTTAACTGTGTGTCAGGGACTCTGCTCAGTGCTTTATCATTAGTTTATTTGATCCTCACTGAGCAGGCATTGCTATCGTCCCCATTTTACAAAGGATGAAACAGAGGCACAGAGAGGTTAGAGAACTTGCCCTAGGTCACACAGTGAGTAATACGGCCGGTGTAGACCTCGAATCCAGGTAGACGGTGCCAAGCCCACTTTGGTTCCCTTAGCCGTTGTGCACGGTTGGCAGCTGCCAGCCCAGGACTGGCTGCTCAGTGCTGACAGGGAGGACCAGCCCTCTGCCCTGCCAGGACTTGGAGCTCACGCGGCTGGAGAAGCCTGTGGGTCTTCCTGGAGGAGCTGGGCATAGTTCTGGAAGCAAGATAAGCTTTACTTTCCGTTCAGCCTCGGATCTGCCCTCGGGTCTGGTAGGTGTGTACGTGTGTGCGCATGTGCTTTCCAGGATGGCCACAAGGTGGCGCCCTCTGCCCTGAGATTCCCACAGCCGGATAGTGGCTTCTTTTCCTCCTCCCAGTTTGAAGCTTGGGAGTTTGGGAAGACTCCAGGATTTATTCATTCATTCATCCAACCCTTAATGAGTTCCTACTGTGTGTCAGGCACGCTGCCCAGCACTAGTTAATATTTCCTGGGCCCTTACTCAGTGCCAGCCATGGTCTAAGCACTCGTCCTAGAGTCCCACCACCTACGGATAAGGCATTATTGTCACACTTCACAGAGATGTGAAGTGAAACTACCCGTGGTCACCCAGCTCGTCATTAGCGGAGCAGCGTTGGATGCAGGCAGCCTGGTGAAAGAACCCAGGTTCCTACCCAGTGGCCAGACAGCTGGCCACGCTGTCCCGGTGGGGTGGGGATCCAGACAGAAAACATCGTCTCCCTGATGCACGCCAGCTCGGCAGCTGGAAGGAAATGCACAGACAGCTGGGAGAGCAGAGAGCAGAGGGATGTGATCGGGCCTGGCCGGGGGCCCGCGGGCTTCCGTGCGAGGCAATGTTTGAAGGACGAGCAGAGTCGTTCATGCCAGGAGGAGCGTTCCAGGAGGAAGGGGCTGCCCTCGCAAAGAGGCTGGGCTGGAGCACCGAGGGACAGGGATGGGGGAGGACGGAGCATGGGGGACTTTGGCTGCAAGGGGCCAAATGGGAAGCTCTTTGGAGAGCTTGGGGAGCCACAGATTTTTTTTAAAAAATGTTTTATTAGGAAAAATCCCAAGCACACACAGAAGTAGACAGTAGTATAATGCGCATGTGCTTGTGCCCAGCTTCAAATGTCATCAATTTTTTACCCATCTTGTTCGATCTACACTCCCCGCTCTCTCCTGAGAAGCAAATCCCAGACATCGTTTCTCCTCCATAAATACTCCAAAATCTATCTTCAACGTACAGGGACATTTAAGATAAAAACAGAAGCACCGTCATCACATACGACAGAATTGCCAAAAATTCTAAATAGTGTGTGTATGTGTTGACACTTCTCTGATTATTTCACAGATCTCTTCTGTGAATTAATATCCGAACACAGCCACACATTGCAATTTGTTGATGTGTTTATTAAATCTCTCTTAATTTATTAAAGTACCCCCTTTTTGCATGCTGCTTAGTTGTGGAAGAAGCCAGGTCATTTGTCCTGCAGAGTTTTTCCCACGGTCCAGATTTTGTGGATTTTTATCTTCATGGTTAATGTATTCCTCTGTTTTCTATATTTCTGATGAAGTAGTTATTAAACGTACAGGCTAACCCGGTTCAGGTTTTTGGCAAGACACCTTGCTTCTGTCAGGAGGTGCTGAGGCCGATGACTTCGCATAGTGAGAACTGGATCCCTCTCATAAAGTTCTCATCAGCCCAGCTCCTTTGGGTTGTTTCTGTTTGCATATCCCTCATTCCCGGTGAGGTCGAGCACTTTTTCTTACGTTTAGTTGCCAGTTGGGTTTCCGCTTTTGTGAGTTGCCTGTTCACCTGTCATGTTTCTTTTCCTTCTGGTCAATTTCTAGGCGTTCTTTACATAGTCTGGAGATAAGCCATTCCCGGGGGAGCACTTTTTCTTATGTTTAGTTGCCAGTTGGGTTTCCGCTTTTGTGAGTTGCCTGTTCACCTGTCATGTTTCTTTTCCTTCTGGTCAGGTCAATCTTATCGATTTCTAGGAGTTCTTTACGTGGTCTGGAGATCGGCCCTGTGTGAATTTTATGTGTTTCAGAAACTCTCCTCCTGGCCTTCCCCGGGCCTTTTCACTCTCTTCATGTAAGTGTCTTTTGATCCACAGAGGTTCTTCATTTTTATATAGACTCATTGATACGGTTTTCCTTTGAAGTTAGTAATATTTATGTCCTGTCTCAGAATCCTTTTGCCCCGGTGTCACGAAGACATTCTCCTGTATCATCATCTATAATTCTGACATCTACAATTCACCTGGGATTGTTTTTTGATGACGTGGAGGTCCTTTCATTGACTAGTCAATCATCCATCCCGGTGCTGTTTATTGAAAAGAGTGTCCTTATCCTACTGCTCAGCCATTGTCGCCTTTATCACGAATCGTATTTATCCATAGGTGAGGTTCTGTGCTCTGTAGTCCAGTGGTTTATTTGTCTCTCCTGGTGCCAGCGCCATCCTGTTTTAATTACAGTAGCTTTATAATTAGTCCAACGTTGGGTAGAGCCAGTTCTCTCGCTTTTGTTTTTTCTTTTCAAGATTTTTTTTTTTTTTTGGTTATTCTTGGCAATTCGCATTTCCGTATAAACTTCAGAATTGATAGGTTTTTCAGTACAAACACATACAACCTGTTGGAATTTTTATTGGTATCGTGTTGAATCTATAGAACAATTTAGGGAGAGCTGAAATCTTTATAAATACTGGAGCGAGTGTTCCAGTCTGTAGACAGAGTGAGTCTTTACATTTATTTAGGTCTTATTTAATATCTCGGTAATGTTGTTCCATTAACCCTTTTTGTTAGATTTTTTTTTATCTTTGGGTACTTTTGTTAATGGTTTCTTTACTTTAAATATCGATCATATTGATTTGAGT